GCTCTTTTGGGCCAGCGTTCAGACTTCATGAGGGCACAGCATCGCGCATTCGACGCAATCGATGCGCATGCTTTTGACTGCCTTGATAGCGTCGAGTGCGCGACCAAAGCGCTGCCGTCGCGAAGTCTGAACGCTGCCTTACTTATGTCAATGGAACAAAGTGTTTTGCTATTCAAACAAACTAAGGCTGCATTCATACTTTGCGGCGGCGGCGCCTAGGAAAGTATAGATATCGACTTTGCGAATGGAACCGTCCACCAGTGCTTGCCAGCGTCCACCAGCGTCTCGAGGGAGTAGGGAAGTATAGGTATGAATCTGCGAATGCCCACCAGCGTACAGCAGCGACCAGGAGTGGAGAGTACGGGAAAGTATGAAGGTAAGACAGCTGGATTAGGCGTCGCAAACTGCGGCGTGTGCAACCGCGCCGTGCAGCAGCATTACACAGTACATCAAGATGGCAGAATACTGTGCTTAAGCAGTCATGGTGCGGTTGCACACGCCGCAATTTCGCGATGCCTAATCCAACTGTCTGCTACCCTCCTATTTCCCCATGCTCTCCACTCCTAAACGCTGCCGTCCGCTGGATCGACATCTATGCTTTCGCAGTCGCTGGCACTGAGGGACGCTTGAAACATAGGTCGCTGGTGGGCGCTGATGGACGCTGCCGCAAAGTATGGACGCAGCATAATGCTTACATTTGTTGTGAACTTGTAATATTTGGTCGTTCCAGGCATTTTAATGCATCATGTTGCAATTTTAATCTCCGATGAATTCTTAATTCTAATTATAGACTCCCGAGAAAGCATCGGTGGATGCTGCCGCTACTCCTGCCACGTCCGATGCTCCTTTCCCGGAGTTTGTGCCTCAAAACAATTCTGCGTCATCTAGCGCTGAGGCTAGCTCTAGTACAGCGGCTGTGCCACCATCTCCTGTATGTTACTACCTCTTTATTTCTAAACTTATGAGAACTCAATCGTGGTTTGCTGGAAGTCTTTTTTCTTAACATTTTTTTTCTAGAAGAAACGGCCACTGGCACCGATGACCGACACCTTGTCTAGTATGATAGAAGGAGTTCAAGCGTTGTACGAATAATCTAGCGCTGCCTGGTCAGAAGAAGCGACTTCAGAACATCCATGTGGACATGGTTATTGCGTACGTTCGAGCGACTTCACCATTGAAAGCTTCCCGTCCCGATTTTCACTGAATTTCATTTTAGAATAGAAGAACAATGCTTGAAGGATGGATACTCTGTCCATGAGAAAGCTCGTGTAGCACATTCACTTGCGGATTACTGCGGCATCCAGAAGAATTCTTTGTATGCCCGTTGCATCAAACGACGAGATGTTAGTTGCTAGTATTTTCTACAGTTCAGATATACACATCTGATTCATCGCTTACTAGTAATTAATGGAAACTCAATGAGTATAATATCTTCATTTTAAGGAGCACAAGAATGGCGCACCAAACTTGGCATTCTTGGCGAAGTCTGGTGGAACATTTGCAAACAACACGGCTCCCACAACTGCTTTCAACAAGACTACACCTTCACCTGTAGCTGCGCCCACTACAAACAAAGCTACAAGTTCAACAACAACGCCGGTACCCACTCCAAGTAAAAGCACGCCTGCACCAGCAACCGCTACAGTTGCTCCATCTTCTTCAAAGTCTATAGTGAGTTGTTTCTTACTCAACTAACATGAAGTGTTATTATCTTTGGCGTAAGTAGCCGAGGGGCTATAACTAAACATAGTCCGCAGCGATTCGGCGTCCGCTCTGGACAATAGAATGACTCCCTGCTCGGTCCAGAGGGAGCGAGACGACCCAGAGCTCTTCTCTGAAGCAGGCCCTCTAACTACATAACGCCGTCCTATTTCTCTAACCCTGTAGGCTCGCCGAACATTGTGTCTGATTTTCGTGCGCGCTCATCTAACGGCCGCGCGCTCCTTCTGATACTGCGCGCTTCGCCGGCTGTATTATCATTTCACCTTATTTTCTAGAATAACTATTATCCGCCTTTGTTCTTAATGCCACTTTTCCGTTCTTGAGTCCTAGCTATTTTTACAGACTCTTTACATACTACGCCACTTCGAGCACCCGCTCCGCAATGTTTGGCCCACAACCTCACCGGACACTCCTGCTGACTTAATCCTTTCCGGTCTTCGGGAGTGCTCTGGAACTTTTATGTCGACCTTTTTTCGGCTCCCCCCCTCGACGAGGATCCGCCACAAATTGTTTTGCCACAACAATCCTCACAGCGACGTCCTTCTGACTGAACATTAATTTATTCCGGTCTTGCGGAGGCCTGGAACTGTTTACAGACCTTTTATCTGGCTGCCGCCGACATTTGCCCCATCCAGTCTTAAGACGACACCCTCTGCTGACCTTAATCCACTTTTTTTCCGGTGTGTGGTGTGTTCTGGAACCGTTCTAGAGAATTTTTGTCCGGCTCCGCCCACCTCGAGGCAGACTCCGCCCCCAATTTTTGTGCCCCACATTCTTCACCGACGACCCTCTGCTGAACTTAATCCACTTTTCACGTACCCTGGAGTTTTGAAGAGATAACAGACTTTTAAAAAAATCCCCGCGATTTAGTGCAACTCCGCCGACAGTTGCGGTCCAAAACACTTAGAGCGTGCCCTATATTCGCTCGAATTTACAGTTCTACACTGATTTTTGCGACTTCACAACACCGCGAACCGGACTGAATTTTTCGAGAAGCACTCGCTCCTGACTTGAGTTAAACCCCCGCACCATGTGAGGTGTACCTGCACAGTTAAGTCTGGCGACTCCTACTAACTCTAGCCCTTTTTTTCCCAATCTTTAAGACGCTCCCGGAACGAATTGGAAAATTTTTATCAAACCCACCCAAACTTTCGAGCAGTTAAAAAAGCACACTCTTGACCTATGCCAAGGCTCCCGCTCAACTTTGCGGGGCTTGCCATAAAGTCAGTGCTCTTTTTATTTCTTGTCCCAGCCGTACTGTCCCACCCGTGACTTAACCTCGCCAATCTTCTTACAGGTCGAACTTGAATGCCGACAGACAAACTTACAAACTTACAAACTCACAAACAACAAACTAGACAAAGCGAGGTGATAGCAGCCTAACCCAGAAGTTGGGAAGGTTCTTGCGTCATACAAGTAAAATTAAGAAGGTGACGATCCAAACAGCTAACATGACGTGGTGGCAAGTGCGCGGTATCGTGATCGGGCGGCGCCTTGTCGGCCAGATCCGCAAACTAAAACGTTCGGTGAAGTTATTTCTAACGTGCAGTTCCTTCGTGTAACCGTTTTACTGGGTATTGAACTCAGTGAATGAGCTAAGCATTAGCAGCGCAGTTATTTTGACGCTGGTCAGGGCACATCGTTGTGTGGGGAATCGCACAGGGTCGTATTGGCCGCACAGGAAGGGGGGGTCGATGATCGGGGCGCAGCCAGTAACGATAACGCAAATGTATGTGCTTGATGATTCCTGTAAAGAACCTTGCTTTGTAGAGAACCGATATCAAAAAAATAGTAGATATAAACTTCCATTCATCAAACTAATCCGAAACAACTGCAAATATTAATAAGTCGACATTATCTCGTAAGTCCGTTGGTGACTAAACAGTACAACTCAAACTCTTCGCTGCCAATGATATGGCGTGTCCGCGGTCGCGCTTGGCGCTGAGCCAACCTGTTTTTTCTCGACAAGCGACAGGACTACCATATCGTATCGTTTTCCAGCAGTTGGTCTCCTTTATCGGAGTCAGCGATTGGCGGAGCACGAATCTGGCAGCGTTGACAGGGACATGTTCCATCATACGCAACGGAAAACACTGTAAACAAGTGCACAGGCTCGCCATGGACCTCCCTGAACCTTATAGACACATTTGCTCGCGTGAACAGACATTACGCACAAGTTGCACCATCCCATCACCTCTGCGCGGCCCTCAGTGCGCGGCGCATCCAAAGTTGGCGTGATCGGCGCTAAACGAACCATATCCTGCTCCTGCTCCACCACAGGATACGTTCTACATGCGTTCCTGGCTATTCGAACACGCTCACTTGAAACGGTACACAGGAAACGGGTTTTTCGCGCAGCTGGGAGTGTTCCTCAAGAAATCCCCATAGCGAGATCTCATGAATCCCGAGAGCTTCAGAAACAGTTCAAGAGGTTTTTAGAAAGAGAAAATCTTCAAACACTCGAAACCGTTCTCAGATTTGTGAAATGTTGAGTTACAAAAAAAATATATTGATTCAAACCTGTTCAGTTGAAATCACTCCCCAACGAATCCCATGGCAGATTTCTCTGTGATTTTTGCGACCTTCATAAACGTTTCAGTACTTTTAGGAAGTGCAAACCTTCCTCTACACGAATACGGTCTCCTCTTCCCCACAGGTCCGCTTTTGAGGAAGTTATGGTCCTTCAAAGACACCTACCTCAGCTGGAAATTCTCGCTCCATGGCTAAAATTGCCGAATAATCTCCAGTCACAGCTGCAATTACATGCGCTTCTGCTACCGTACTCCACATAATCGGGGTAATGCATTTTTACGGCGGTTTAACTGTTACGTAGTGAGACAAGCCTAACTTTCTCTTTTCCTCGTCCTCAATCTTGGGAATAGACGTTGTTAACACTGTGGTCGCTGATGGCCGCTCCCAGAGAGGGAGTCCACCTCAGGTTAACGAATGCTCATTGAATTTAATCGCGATACATCGTTATTATTACCATGTGTGTTTCAAAACGGCCATCGAAGAAGTTCATCATACGAGTTTCTCATAATACGATTGTACCGTTTTTGTTTGCAATCATCTCTGTATTGTTCTATTATGTCATGACTTCAAGTCGTCCATTTAGTAT